CCTCGAGTGCACATCCATGAAGCTCAATGTGTTGTAGCTTGTTGATCCATCGATGAGACAATCAATGTTTGATAGTGAGTACAAATCTTTAAAGTAGGAGGTGCTCAAATTGATGAAATCTACACACAAGCACCATCTGTTCTTAGTTTTCCGAACTATAACCATGTTGGCCAGCTAGCTGGGATATTTTTTCCCCAATGATGAACCGATGTCAGATAACTTTCCCACCTTTTCATCAATGGTGGTCGTTTTCTCCTCTCTTAGTTTTCTCTTCCTTTACGCCACTGGCTTGGCAGAAGGGAGAATGGCGAGGCGATAGCTCACCACTTTGGTGTCATTTGTAACACCCCAATTCTATACCCCCAAATAATCACATAATAATTTAGGCACATATTAAAAATTTTGTCAAAGTATAATTATAAACATAGTATAAAAGAGGTATGTCACAATATACATGAATTTAAAACATTCAACATCTGCTCAACAATTGATATGCAACAGTGGGGTAACTTTGCAACAGAGGAACTTAGTCCTTACACCCACATCTCAATATTTAGAATAAAAGCGGAAAATCTAAACATTGAATAACATCCAACATATATACATATATATATATATATATATATATATATATATATATATATATATATATATATATATATATATATATATATATATATATATATATATATATATATATATATATATATATATATATATATATATATATATATATATATATATATATATATATATATATATATATATATATATATATATATATATATATATATATATATATATATATATATATATATATATATATATATATGTTGCGGTGGAAATAGGATCACAAACTATTAATGAGTTTGAATCGCAATTCAATTCACAACCGCTCTTTGATTTATCCGAAGGAAAAGGTCAAAAAGGGAAAACCTATTTTGCATCGTAAACACAATGCGGGGAAAGATCTAGGGTTCGGGGGTTGGTTAAATTTAGGGAAGGTATTAGCACCCTAAACTTCTGTAGTACTCTACAGGAACCTTTTGTTCAAATGTTTACTATTTGCTTTATTTATTTGCTTAAGGTATATGTACAAAGGGATTAAAAGTGAGAAAATAAACCTAAGGGGTTAATTCTAAGTTTACTCGGCAAGACATCGCATCTTGTGCCTACGTATCCTTACGGGAGTGGAATCAGAGTAATCGTAGTTCCCCTCAATAGGGAGGTTAGAGACTTCTTGACTGTGGTCAAGGTCTCAAGGGGAATAAACATGTCTTAAGGACACGCTTACACGGAGTGTAGAAACTCCAAATCTCTATGTTGAAATGTTAAGTCGTAATTAGGGTTAAATTAGGGATTCCACGGCGGGAAACCCTAAAATGAGCACGGCGGCTCTTTGACCTAGTACTAGGGGTAAAATTGTAATTTTGCCTGCGGCGAGGCATTTGTGAAGAGTTAGGGTTTGTAAGGTGAAAGGGTTTGAAGTTTTGAGGACTATTGGCGCGGCGGCCAAAAGCTAGACCTAACCTTCGGATGTGTGTAGTGTGATAGAAATATAGCCATGACAGTGTGAGAAAATTAAATCATACATCGGCAGAAATTTAAATGCAAAAAGTAAACGCGATTATTATGTTCGCGAGATTACATACGAGAAGCAGTTACAATAATAATAAAACTTAAATAAAACACCACGCAATAGTAATAAACATGAGCTGCAAATGATGAACACCGTTAGTAAACAAGGATGGACAGTGATTGGACGAGTTTAGGAGGAAAAGTGCAATATTGGAGGTTTTTGTTGTTTTGAAAAAAAGATGTTAAATGAATTTATATATAAAAAAGGAGTAATGTTAATTAGAAAAATACTTTAACTTTAATCTTAAAAAAAAAGGTTTTAACTTAGATATATTTTTTTTAAAAAAAGATTTTTATGTTATTTATTAAAAAAACTTTTATTTTTATTATAGGAAAAGAGGTTTTTTTGATTTTATTATAAAAAAGGGTTTTAGAGTTTTTATTTATTTTAAAAAACAGTTTTTTTTTTATATTTACAAAAGAAAGGTTTTTTAAAAAAAACAATTTTTAATTATAAAACAATTTAAAAACAAATAAAATAATTTTAAAAAACAAAATAAAAAAAATAAAACATAAAGGGTTGGGCCGGTCATCACCTCCGGACCCAACCTAGTGGTTAGTCATAAGAACAAATCTTTTAGGGTTTCCCCCCAGAGAACCTTCGCGGCGCCGTTTCCCTTTTCTTCTTCATCTCTCTCGCGTCTTTCTTCTTCCTCGCGCCGTGAGTCTCTCATTTCCTGAAATAAAACATCAAAACTCATAATGAAAACGTCCCGTTGCTTACATTTAACGCGAAATCGGCCGATGATGGCGTGGGCTGAGGCACAAAAACGAGAGATTGCCCGTCGTCTGGTTAAACGGCGTTGGTGGTCTCTCGTTCGAATCTTTCGTGACCGATGATGGATGATACACGGTGCGTTTGAACGATGACGACGATGTTCTCCGTTTGAGTTCGCGGCTTTCGTTCACGGCGCCTAGGGTTTGTTCTTTTGCGATCTCCGTTCTTCGTTAGGGTTTCGCTCGTGATCTCCCCTTTTCTCTCAGGTTGTATCCTCCCTTTTATAACTTAACTTCTGGGCCTTGGATTTGCGTTATTCTGAGATTCGATTTTGTGTTGATATTATCTGATTTTGTTGTGATTTTCTCAGATACTGATTGGATTACGATTGGATACTCTATTCCTCTTTTAGGATTCGATTGGTATTTCGGTGAGATTAAATTTCATTTTTCTGGTATGAATTTGATACTGATTCGTTGATTGATGAGTTCCAATGGGATATGATTTGGTTCCATCTGATCCTATTTCCCCTTTTAGGATTTGATGGGTCTCTGATTTCCAGCTGATTCTTCTGACCCTGTTCGATTTAATAACCTGAACTGATTTTGTTTTGGTCTGCTTCAGGATTGACATCAAAATCTCTATTACTTTCTGATATGGTTTGCCTTCAGATTGGATTGATTGGCATCTGATATTAATTCACGGGATTTCTTGATGGTTTCATTTTGATTTGTTTCTATTTTTCCCAGGTTCAATTTGATTTGATCATCTTTTGATTAGACTCTTGCAGATGTGAATTGGATTGCTTTTGGGGAATTTGGATACTGATTTGATTCCTGATGCGATTTTGTTTTGATTCAATCCTGACCATTGGCACTTACTTTTTCTTTTTCTTCTTTCAGGATGGACACTTTGCCTTGATCTTTGCCGCCGAGAAGGGTACATGGTAGTGATGAATTTTGTCTGAACCATTCGGAACAGGATACTACATCCTGGCTTCTGATCATATTGCTGCTTCTAATTGAATTGGTGATGGTGACTTGGGCTATGATGTTTGATTAACTGAGCCCCGTGTTTGATGATTCGTTTGTTTTATGAACTGAGCATGATTTGATAACTATTGGATCATTCTTGCTGGTACAAACCGTGCCATGATTTAATACTGCCTGCAATTCTGAACTGACATGAATTTCAACTCTTCTGTGTAGTTTTGGCAGGTTGATTGAATTGGTGATGATGATTGGCCATCATGCTGATATCCTGAACCATGTGTTTGACAATTTGTTTTTCCAATGTGCTTGCATATTTAGCCTATGATTATGTGCTGTGATTCGGTATAGTCCCTCACTCATGTATTGCTTGCCGTTGCAACTGGTTTGGTTTTCGTGACGGTCTGATTTTTGAACATGCTGCTAAACCATGTTTGATGCTGTTGTGCTTCTTTGGAGCCTGCTGAACACTTTTCTGTCATGACAGATTTGTAGGACCTTGTCTTATGTCTTCTTGCGCATAAATCTGCCTTCTGATGCATTGTTTTGATGCAGTTCAGTCTGCATCTGGTGTTTTGTTTGTAACTTTGGCTTGCATTTCAATTCTCTGTTTGGACTTGGTTTTCATAACCTCACCTACTGGTTCAGGATTAATACTGCTCATGAATTGTTTATGTTTTGGGTTCCAAACTCTGAATCTGATATTGATGCGTTTGTGGCTTTTCAGGTGTTGGAAATTTCGGAACCAAAATGACTCAGACCATGCCGGCATCCGGGTCTGAGTTCAATGTTGCCTTATTCTCGTATCAGTTTTGAAAACCAATCGCGGCAAAACGAATCAGTCCCGCTTCTTTTATTACTTCTGTCTCTCGGATGTCCCGTAACGATAAGAACAGGTGTTACCTGATCTGACGCCCACGGCGCGGATCGGTAACGGGGGTAGGACGCAGCTTCGGTTGTGCCACTCCCGGCACTCGATGATGACGATGTTCTGAGAGTGTCAAAAACAACT